ACAATTGAGCAATATCGCTTCATTTGTTAAAACAAAAGATATCGATCAACGTTCTTGAGACAAGATTGAGTAACTTAGGCTCTCAAGCTATAACGAATATGACTCATTGTGAAAGTTCGAAAAATCAAAAGAAATTCAAACCCCTAAAAAATGTGTCATGTGATCGATATATCAGTAAGTAATTATTTCATTCCAATTTTGTGGTTACCACAGCAGAAGAATGTATGTGATGATTCTCTTCTACACGTGATAAAAGCAGTAAACCACAATTACTATCAACCATCCCAGTACATCATTGCTATTGCAACCTTATTTTTCACTACAACTTTAACTATCAAATTTCAAAAACAACATATGAAATTAATTTATTGGAAATTACAAAGCTTTCAAAATGTGTTATCTTCCATTAGTTAAGTATTATTCAAAGTGCTATATAGTATTAATAAGTAAATGCCATTAAATAGCAGTGCAAATACAAGTAAATAGATTTGGCTGGTCACCTATAGGCTATTGCGAAATTTTACCTTAGGAGCATTGAATCTTGTAAAATCTAGGGAAAAGCTAAAAGCTTAAGAATATTATTTAAATAACTTGAACATAATGAATTTGATTATGATCACAAATAAGCCTAGGTGTCTTCTTATATAAGTATTGGTAGAACAGGTAATCTCCAAATCCTAGTAGGCTAAGAAGAGAATAAATCTCCTAAAAAGAAACAAAAACTAATAATCTACTCCAAACCAAACTACAAATTGAGTTTGCTTTCAATAGTATGCCTAATCATTTCACTGCTAAGTCTTTATTTGAGATTGTGTACATCCAGCCTCCTGGACATTCGTTGGACTTGATCCCTCCGACCAGACTACCTAACAGCCTCCCAACAGCTGAAGAGATGGCAAACCATGTTCAATTTGGTGCAGCAGTAGAAACTGAATCTCGTAAAAACAAGGGAAAAAGTGAAAGCTTAAGAATATTATTTGAATAACTTGAATATAACAAATTTGATTATGATTACATACAGGGAAAAAATGCACCATTTGTCCGCACCCTAGGGCCTTGATCCCAGTGTCACCCCCATTTTATTTTTGTTGGAGACAATGTCCCCAACTTATACTTTTTGAGTGCGCAAGTAGCCCCTTACTGAATCCATCTATTTTACCAGTGCATGTGAATATCACATGCTAACATTTTTCACTGAAAAGACCATAAAACCCTTGCATTAGTTAAAAATAAGAAGGAAAAAAACACAAATTCATTTGTCTTCTCCAACTACCCCTCCCCTCTCCACCACACTGTCCCAGTTCCACAACCACCACCATTGTCACCGACAGAAACACAACCAGAACCTTTCACCACCATATCCTTTTATAAGGTTTTCTCATTATTATATATTCAACTAAGCAAGCCCCATATGGAAGCTCTGCCTGATTTGAATGAAAAGCAAATAGTGACAATCAATTTAATATATCAGTAAGCATCCTTGCTTTCACCTTACATACAAACGAAAAACCCAAACTGCAAAAATCAATTTGACCAACACCATTTTCTCCATTGAACTAGACAGAAAATGAACGCCCAAGCCTATCTATCTCCAATATCGCACTATAAATGAGGCATTTTCATGGCCATTATAAAAGTTCTCAGAGTAAAATGCAGCAGAAAATAAGAAATATATTCCTTTGGTGCTCTGAATATGGGAATTTAGAATCTTTAATTAATATAAAATGCATATAATATTTTCATGGGTTCTAAACCTGCAAACTATAAGAACACTGGATCTAGCGACAAGAACCAGAATGCTAAAAAACTACAGCTTATAAATGAACTAAAAACAGAAAAACTTAGGAAAAAGTTTCCGCAAAATCAACACATACCATGTCTGCGGGAATGCACTTCAAAAAATGTGACTTAAATCTTTCTGCAAAAATTGCTTCACTGCCGCAAGAGGGATTAGTAAGTGGATACATAAATCTACAGACATGCTTTACAAAAGAAGGATTCACTGGATAAACCTAACCATTGCTAACTTTCATATTCATCTTGCAGCGTAGAAGGAAATCAGTGGGGCGCTGTAACTGAGCCAGGGGGAGCCATTGGTGGATTGGTGACAGCATGAGCCGGGTTTTAGGATTTTTATTTTCTTCTTTTTCCTTTCCTTTCCTTTTCTATTACCTTTTTTCTTTTTCTTTTCTAATTTTAGCAGGGAACGGAATTGCAACAGCAGTCAAACCAATTTATCCTTCAAAAGATAGGCACATTAAATTCACATGCACAATAATGGTCAAAATGGACAGATTTAGTCTCCAGGGACTACTTGTGTATCTAACCTATAGATTAGAGACTTCATCCTGAAAACCATAAAATGAGGACGACATTGCAACCTGGCCATAGATTGGCAACAAATGGCGCTATTTCCATTTGGAACAAGCCTAGCCATCTTTTTCTGTAGGTATTGAAAGAAGAAGTAATCTCTTAATCGTAGTAGACCCAGAAAATAAACAAAGCTACTAAAATAAGAAAACTAATAACATACTCCTACAATAACTAGAAATCCAATCAAAATTGTAAGACTAGATCCTACTAATAAAAATAACCCTAATTATGCTGTCCTACATCAATCTTCCTCAAGCAGGCTCGGGCAGAATAGATGACGAGTACAAGTGATAGAACTAAGCTAACAGCAAATGAAATTTTTTATCTGCCTATATATTCTGCTGAGGATTCACGAGTGTTTCAAACCACATATTTTGAACAACAAATTTAGTGCATCCAAATATTAGTTTATAATCAAGACCCTTGTAGTCCAAATTCCCAGGTCCCAATTTTTGACAGTTTTCATGTCTAACTCCGAGATCCACAATCCTAGATAGTCATATGGAAATCCAGGAAACATCAAGTAAGCATTTAAGCTTAATCTCCTAATCCAGCCCATTCAGTCCATTCAGTTGTTTGTGAAGTTGT